CATAACACAATATTAATTTTAATTTTAATTACCTTTTAAAATCAATACATGAAGCATAAAGCTTGCATATTACCTTTTAAAATCAATGCATGGGGCTGGGAAGGTGGCTCAGTGGTAGAGCGCTTGCCTTGCATGCCTGAGGCCCTGGGTTCGATTCCTCAGCACCACATAAGCAAAAAGAAAAAAGCCAGAAGTGGCGCTGTGGCTCAAGTGGTAGAGCGCTAGCCTTGAGCTGAAGAGCTGAGGGACAGCGCCCAGGCCCAGAGTTCAGGCCCCATGACTGGACCCAAAAAAAAAAAACCAACATAAAATCAATGCATGAAGCATAAACTTATCCTAGAAATTTAATACATTGTATACATTTTGTAACATTTAAGTCAGGTTTGATATATTCAAACACCAGTTTTTGTTTTAATAATGAAAACATTCAAAATCCTTCCTTCTAGCTTTTTGAGATATATGTATGGTACATGGCCACTCTCTGTAGTAATACTATGTGCAATGGAACACCAGAATTTCTTACTCTTTCCTATCTGTCTCCTTACTTTTTGATTATACATACCCTACTCCTCTCTCCTCCATTTTGTAATTTTCTTTCTTATCTCTTTGGGACACTTCTGAGATTCTAAAAGTCATATAATACATATTACTTTTAAAACAATAGTTAAAAGATATTATTATAAACTAATAGGAAATTTAATAATCATTAGGAGTGCCTGTTAGCAAATATTTAGATCCAGGAAGTGTCCAGAATCGTACTGTGTTTCATTTAAATGGTGCTTCCATTATGACCTTCAAAAGATCTTTCTCAAATTGATTATCTCCTCATTTCAAAGAGTTGTAACGAATTCACTCAGAGGTTAATGCCCAGTACAACCATTTCACAGGCCATTACTTATTTTTTTATTTTATATATTTAACATTTTATTGGGCTTCCAACAGGTTACCCCCAAAACATTAAGGTTTCCTTTGTTTGGTAGAAAGAGTAGAAACTAAACTTCACTCCTCTATAACACATCAATTAGTCTATAGAGCTCAATGACAACAATTTCCAACCTAGGTAGAGAAGTTAGGGGAAGTCCAAGTTCCCAGAAATATTTTATCTATGGAATGATCATTTGGCTTTGTGTGAGTTCAAGATTGCATCACAACCACTCCTGAAGCCTTGCAACTGAATAGTGACCCAGCTAAGGAACACAATTTTGGAAAAAAACTGTTGAGAGCATTTTATTCTCTCATTATGCCTGTCAAACCTAAACATAGAAATATTGAAACTATAGATTGAGATCAAGGAAGAGTCAATGAAAGGTGCAGGGAGAGAGAGAGAGAAAGATGACTGATTTTAGTCAGCTGCCTTCCAGACCCCATTCCCTTCTCTTCATGGCATCAACATCTTCCTAGACTTGAAGACCCCAGGGTTCCTGGGCTGCTCACAGACCCTTTTTCACCAGCCTTGTTCCTCAAAAGCAGTTTCATTAGACAGCTCTTATCTAATGCCCTGGAGCATAGCAGTGCCTTCCTTCTTTTTGTTGAGCCCAGCACTACATTATTTCCTTAGGAACTCTTGGTGGGCACACCTTGGTTCAGTAGGTCCCCCCACAGACATATGTAATGGCTTTGCATCAGGAAAGGCAGAATTTAATCATGTTTCTCTTTCTTCCTCATAGTTCATAAAATATATTAATCATTTTTAAAACTGTCTCTACATTTCCTAATATGTTTCATTGATGGTGTAGGATGTGTTTGAAGCAGGGCTTGTTCTTTGCAATGATCCTGTGACATAGCATTCTTCAGGTTTTCAAGACTGAGATGCAAAACTCTTAGAGTCAAGTTCTTTCATACCAGATAACATGGCTAGTAAAAGACAGAGCTAGAAATCACTGTAATATATCATTCTCTGTCTCTGTCTCTCTCTCTCTGTCCCTCTGTCTGTCTGTCTGTCTGTCTCTCTCTCTCATTCTCTCTCTAACACCCCCTCCAGTGTAGAGGGCTTGAAGAAAGTGATGGAAGTGGTTAAATAAAACCCTTTGAGTAGAGTAATTTGACCTAGGTGGTGAATTGAAGGGTTTTAGATGTGGTCTGACTAATCCCTTCTCTGAAGTCAACCACAATCACAGTTCATTTTTGCTTTCTCTGCCAACTATGACTCCCGGGTTACTTCCTTTTCTACCACTTGGAGTCAAGTGACTGATATAGGATGCCATGAGAGTAGATTCTAATAGAATTCACAGTCTGACAAGTAAATGTTCTGTTGCTTAGAGACTGGGCCATCTTCTATGTTTTGAAGACATAGTAGGCTATTTTGCTTCATGAGAGGATACAGACATTCAAGTAAAAAGGAAAACCTGTTATTGGCTGCCAGTGAATACCAGGTCATTTTAGGAAGTGGGATCATTACAAAAAGTGAATGTGTGAGTCAAACTTAGGCTCCACTTCAACCTTCTCAAATCCTTGTGGTTTTTCTCTAGTAAATCATAGTGTTTTTTTTTTTTTTTCAGTTGAAGAACTTCGTCTGCAAGTTGTTGGGAGAGAAAATAGTTTTCAACCAAAAAGAAAAAAAAAAGAGTAGTATTTTCCATGCAGTGGTAATAGGGATGCCATTGTGTTAGCCCAAAACTTTCTTAGATTTTTGGGAGTGAGGGGGGCAGTACGGGGATTTCAATTCAGGACCTCATACTTGCTGTGTAGGTATACCACCATACCTTACTTATTGAGAGGTGGTCTTGCTAACTCTTTCCTGTGTTGGTCTTGGGCTGTGATCTTCCCCCATGTCTGTTCAACACACTCCATTCCCCATCCCCAAGTAGCTAAGATTATGAGCATCAGTTACTGTCCCTGGTCATGAGTTTCATTCTTTAGTCTATTGATCCAGGTTTCACAGCATGCGATGGGAAAAGGTTATGGTGGTGTCAGTTGGTAGCTGGCATACCTAAACATATAGAGTCATAGGCTGATATATAGAGTCTGCAGTTCCTAACTTGAGGTGGCTGTTGCAACTTGCCTGCTGATGACAACGTTAACTGAACTAATGATGTGTTGTATCTAGATCTGTATAACTAGACTAATACATGTGAGGTACTTTGAGAGAGAAAAATAAAACATGGAGTGATCTGATCAGTAGGCATGTCCTGTGTAAGTACAAATCTCTCAAAATCATAGAATCACTTGGAAGACTCAATTGTGATGCATAGAAATGCCAAGACATTGGAGAAATAAAAGCTGTAGCAAAAAAGATGACTTACATTCTTATGTCACTCTATATTTTGGGACTGAAAAAGTAGAAAGAGATAGATGAATTTTGCTTCATTTCAAGAAGAAGGAGTAGTAAAAGAATTTATAAAAGCTGAGAGTGAAGAGCTTTATTCTCTGGAGAATCTAGCTATGTCCTGAGAATTGAATGGTCTTTCTAGTGTCTTTACTTTCTCATTTTAGGGAACTAAGAACAAGTTGAGGGACAATGTAGTAATCACTACATATGTTTGCTAAGATCTCATGAAATTTGTTCTAGATAAAAAAGGAGAAACCAATTAAAGAAATGGAGAGAAGGGTACCAGCCTTGAGTTAGAGCTAGCATGCAGGAGGCAAAGTATAGAAATCAGAACCAGGTCTTATACAGAAAGAAACTAACAAAATGTTCTGCATTTAGAAGTAGAACTAGCAATTGCAACATGCTAATCATTTACCTGGAAGAACAGCATAACCCTAATGAAAAGAGCAGGCTTTTTTTTTTTTTCCTTAAGCAAGACTCAGAGTCTCTTTTCTGGCTCAAGCATAGGGCTAAATCTTCAGGGAAGAGACTTGTCAGTGTCTGGCAGTTGATTCCAGAGCCATTTCCAATGTCCAGCCTATTACATATTGTTCAGATTTGCTAGCAAATTCAAAATTGCCTTTTGTATGCAAGTAAAAGGTTGCTGAGTCTGAGCCTTCTGTCCCTTTGGCATTTACCCTAAACCTGGTGTGGTCATAATTATGAAGGACACGCTGAGGTGAGGCATACATACACTTGAGAGAAAATCTGTAGAGAAAATCTCTGTCTCTGCTTAGAAGCATGCATTTTAGTTGGGGCAACACAAATTAAGTGCTAGAAGCAATAAAGAAGATTACAAAGCACGTTGCAAGTAAATGTGTAATACTGTGGGGCACATGATACATATAAATGCAGAGGGGACACAGAGGCAAGTGGACTAAGCTAAATGCAGCAGTCTGGGATTAGTCTGAAAAGACATGTTGCCTAACAATTTTATAGCCTCCATTTTTCTGTCTGTAGCATCACTGAAAAATAAAGTGGAACGGGGAATTTGAATATACCACATCGATCCCATTCTCCTTATCTGAAAAGTCTGTCCATCTATCACAGATGGAAATTACATTGATCCAACAATTTGTGCTCCACAAAGCCATGTTGGATTTCTACCTAATAATTTATGCTTTTCCTAGTGTTTGCAAATCGATTGCTATTATGAGATGTAGACAAATCTGGGCTGGGATCCAGTAGGATGGGAGGTGATTGGAGTGGATATGTGTTCATGCGAATGAAATCCTGGTAACGCAGCCTCTCATTTTTATGTATTTTACTCTGTGAATAAAAACATTTTTCAGGTTTTCTTAAGTATGTTTTATTATATTTGGATTGCATTTTAAGGGAAGGTATCTGCTTTATTTCTTATTTCTTCTGATTGGCCTTGATATTTGCCTAACCTTCACACCATCTTTAGTGGCTTTGTAGCTAGACCTCTTGTTTCAAAAAGGCCTTGTTCCATCCCTAGAATATTATAGACCAGTACAGTACTCGTTGGTTCTTTTGATGTGGAAATATGTATAGACATTCATCTGGTTTGGTGAATAAAATGTTGCTGCCAAAAGGCTCGGGAAAGTGTACTTTATTTAAACATTCAATCTTATTGTTGTACCTTCAATTTTTTTTTAGAAGTCCTTCTGAGGATTGTGAAATTCTTTCAAAACAAATTAAGAAGAAAACATTTTCTGTGATTTCTTTACAGATTCTGGACAATCAGGAAGTCCAAGCCACAATGATCCTGCCAAGAATCCTCCAGGTAAATATGTGTTCCAGGACGTTTGCACTCTGACATTGTTGGAGAACAAAGGTACCACTGTACAGATAAACACACCGTAATTAGTCAGCTGCCTATTTTGTTCTGGCAGGCAGGTATGAGGGGTACAAGATGTGATTGTGTTTAGGTTCTAAGATGTGATTGTGTTTAGGTCATTACAGTGGCAAAAACTTATATATTGATATAATTAGCATTTACCTAATTGCTCACGCTCTATTTTTTGTTAGTATTTCTTTAAAAGTCTGTGCTTTACTTGTATGTCTTTTTGGTGCTAAAAGTTATTGCATCTGAAAAGCCAAAGATCTTTTAATTTTTTTTTTAACTCACAAGAAAAAGTAAAAAAAAAATTGTGCACAGTGTTATAATGTATCAATTCTAATTACTTTAAAGGTACTTATGATGGTAGTGGTTTTTTTTTTTTCTGAAGGATTTTTGTGGAAATTTTTATTCTGTAAGATTTTTATTGGTTCCCCCAAATCAGGAAATAATCAAAGTAGGACTTTTTCTTTAGTATAAGGTGTGCCAAATCCTCTCTTTATTTTCAGAAGTTGTTCCAGATCTGAAAAAAAAAAAAAAAGGGCTTTTACAACTTGGCTACTCTCATGGTTTTTTTTGTTTTGTTTTATTTTGTTGTTGTTCAAAAATATGTGGAGTACTTTACATGCAAGGAAGGATTTCTAGATTTCATTGTTATGTGAATTCTAATTCCTTCTGTGATTTCATTAAAAGAATATTCTAAAAATAAACTAATAAAAGAAAGGCAAAACCCAATAAATCCGAAGGCAGCCACACATTCCCTCTACTTACCCAAATAATCTCATGTGTTATTTTATTGAAAATAAACCATGAAATTTATAAAAAATATCACAAAAATAAAAGTTTTTCGGTAGTCTTAGTTTTAAGTCTTTAATTGTTCTATCTTCTGTATAATCGTGCTTGCCAAATTTGAAGTTAAACTCCCTAAAGAACTCTCAAAATGCATGAAAATATATTAGGCATCTCACAAGAAAGATACAGCAAAAAAAATATACATATATATATATATATTTGAAAACAAGTTTCTTTTTCTTTCTGACACCTGTCTCTATTTTATTCTTTATTTTTATCTTACAGTAATCATATGTTTTCTAGTGTACTTATTAAGTTATTCTGTATTGTAGAAAATCATATACTGTAAATGAAGTTTATATGCCAAAGATTAGAAATCCTTATACATCCTGAAAATATATACTATGTTGATTTTTGCTTCATAAATTTCATTGTTACAGATTGAAAGAAAATTGTAAAAAAAAATCTGAACAATTTTAAAGGAGTTTCCAGTTAAATTTATTTTCTGTGTAGATAGATCAGAATTATTTTAATTCCTTTTACAAAAAGAAAAACTTTAGAATGTGACAAATTTTGTCAGAAATGTTCTGGAGTTGAGCAAATTTCATCAAGTTAAAATGTCTTTAACTTATAAATATTTCTTTTTAGTTCACTAGTATTTATTTATTTTTTGTTAAAGTGTATTATATCCAAACATTTAAAAGCCTCTTTCACATCTTGCAAAAAATGAATGGAAGAATATTGTTTTTTTGAAGAGAAAGTTGAAAGATTTGATAAGATTATAAATCAGACTAAACAAAGGATATGGCTTTTTGGATTTGAATGACAGCTTGATTGATATTAATAAAGTAGTGAATGTTGAAGTGCATTTCTGAATATGTATCCAAGGAATTATGCTCATCTAACATGTTCTGTACTTGAGTTGGATAAATAACCTTTGTGTAGTTATGTAATTTAGTAGAATAAAATTTTAAAATATTTTATCAAGCTTGGTTAAATTTTGCTTTGGCTACATGTAGTAGCATCTCTTAATTTTTCTGTTTTCAAAGAGAATTGCAAACACTAATAGTTGAACACATACTTCTTTCCTTTTTGAAGTTTTTCTGGGGAATTTTTTTTACAAGCTATCATGAAGTTAAAATGTTATAGACAAATAGTTTTTAAAGACGGGGTAAAAATATGCCAGGCACCATTGGCTCATGCCTGTAATCCTACTTACTCAGGGGGCTGAGATCAGAGGATCGCCATTCAAAGCCAGCCTAGGCAGGAAAGTTTGTAAGACTGTTATCTCAATAAACTAATCAGAAAGAGCTAGAGTGGCACTGTGGCCCAGTGGTAGAGTGCTAGCCATGAGCAAATGAAGCTCAAGGACAGTGCCAAGGTCCAGAGTTCAAGCCCCAGGACTGGCAAAAAAAAAAAAGTTAAAAAGAGTATTATATAAACATTGTACACTGATTAACAGATTGTAGAATTACAGTATAATAAAATATACATATACCTAAATCAAAAGAAATTGAATTAAGATTTCTTTGATCATTCAAATGCCTTCTATTATTTTAACTTTGTGTATTATCATATTATGGACATAACCTTAAAACTAACTAAGGGATTTTTGTTCCCTAATACTTTGAAATAGGTGAAGCCACTAGGCATAGAGAATATTTTCTTTTTTTAAGTTCAAGAAACAAGAATTTATTTAGATTTTTGTTTGGTACTCAATTAGGATAAACTGTGCTTTCATAATTGTAAGCATCTTGAGTAGTTTTGTGATATTCATTTATCTACTCTTTTTGTTGCTGTTTTCATCTCTCTGTCCTTGGTTGCAATGTGCAATTTCCAAGGTGGAGAGTCAAAATCTCATGAAGGTATAGTCCATATTGGAAAATTCAGGCCAAAGTTACACACAGTGAAACCAGTCAAATCACTCTGTGGTTGTACTCTTATCACAAAGAGAAACGAAAGTTGTGAAAAAGATCACTTTGCTTATCCACACTTTCTTGTCACTGGTAGCTTCCCACTGGTTGATGTAGAGCACATGGAAATTGCTGTCATCTACTCCTGCATTTATTGCCCAACAGCTAAAGAAGAAAGGCCAGAAATCCAGGCCCTCTGAAAAATCTTACTGATTCTTGACAGGAAGGTGGAATCCCATTCATTAATTCCATAAGTGTAGATGCATGAGTCTGTCTACCTACAAGTCCAATGTACCACTCTTCTTTACTACACCTTTCTTTCAAATAAGACTGGCTGCCTGAATTGGCAGCTATTCTTTGCTATTTCAGAACTCCTGAAAGTTGACCCTAAAATCCTTCAAATAGTAGTATGAACATTACAGATAGGCCTTTAATGTTTAGCTTGTGTTTCTTTTTAGAATTAATGTTTTTGCACAAGTAATCAGAAACAGTACATTTTGTGAGGGGGAATATTTGGTATTTGATATTTTCTAAAACATTCAAGCAGTTCTTTCTGTGTTTGCTACTTATAGCAGTATTTACATAGTCTATTGTATTTTCCTTAAATATTTAGGATTTAGTGTTTGATTTTCATTTGTTACATTCTTTTAGAGCTAAAATTCTGTAAAAAAAATCAGATGATACCCTATGGCATGACCTAGCTATCTTGTTCAACAGCATTAGGCCACTTCAGCTTTTAAATGATGCACATTTCCTTTGCTTATGATGGAATCATGTATTAATCCTTATATCCATTTAGTTCCTTTTGAATATGATGTTAATCTTTTCTAAGTAATGAAAGTACAAGAGTTTCTCCTAACTATTGTCAACAATTAGCAACATTGACAAACTGTTAATTTAGGGACTTGGACTTACATAAAATTTTATTTCCAAGAGTTCAAAACTCCACTGCTACTTTTAGGAATTGTGTGATTGGACTATGATTAGCTTTGACTTGCTTCATTATTTTGTATCCCCACATTCCTTGGACTATGATCTCCTAGATTTTCCAAACTAAATCCATTGCTCAATTCTAGAATGGACAATGTCCAAGGAAAACAAAGCAATCTAAAAGTCAGATTTTTGCCTATAAATCAATTCTAAACTAAAGTCTCATTTTGGAGTTTGGGAAGGCTCTTAGTTTTGTGAGGAAACTCTCCCTTGGCTGGTAATAAAACAACAAAATGTTGAGAGTTTTTGCAGATTTTATGATGTAAAATTTTAAGGTATTTAAATTCCATAACTAGAACATGGATTTAGACATATCCACCTCTTCTTTCTCCTTTTCTTCTTCCCCCTCTTTCTCCTCCCCTTTCAGTATGTAAGTGCTCTGTTTAAGCTTGATCATTTGCATATAGTTGGACAAACTTCTGAGATCTATTAGGACCATATATTGTATACTGCAGATAAATCACTTTGTATTCTTTCTCTGAAACAGGAACGGAACTAAGTAAATAATTGAACAAATTAAACTAGGAAGGTCTATTAATCTTGGCAACATGCTTCTCTTAGACTTAAGCAATTCTTGAAATCAGAAAAATGTTAAGGTTGATCTCTTTGTTTTTATAAATGCTAAAATTGAAGCCAACAGATGGATGTCATGAAAATTATAAAAATATCTAATAATCATTAAGCAAACCAGCTCTATGCCTGCAGTAGTAGTGTCCACCTGTTGGGATCCTTAGCACCCAGGTTTATCTAACTTTTCATTTTATATGTTCAAATCTTAGAAGTTGGGAAATAATAAGACATTTTTTTCTTTGTCTTTTGCCTTTGAAGAAAAATAAATTTTCAGAGGTTATCATAAATCATGTTTTCTCTTAGAATATGGTACAGAGTCAAAGAAAGGAGGACATTTAGTTTTATTTTGAGAAATCATGTCCCATTCACTTCTTAATTAATCTTCTCATGTCCTTGTTTATTACATCTATCAAAATCAAGATTTTTTTTAAATGGGAGAAAATGCACTATTCAGTGATACTGAAAGTAATTTTAAACTTTGGCACTTGAAAATATGCAATAGACTATAAACAAGCTTTCTATTCATAGAAGTATAAATAGATAGACACTGAAAGTATTGGCTAACAGTGGTTAAGACCTGACATCGTAGGTAAAGCTTTTAAGTAATTTAAGAATGAGGTCTGTGCCAGTCAAAAAATATCAAAGGATTTTTTTCTTAACAGATTTTGTTTCAGAAATACT